ATAAACCAACCCGTCATATAAACACAACAAGCGTGGATCCCATCGAGTACGATGGACGTGAGGGGTGATAATACCTTCCCCTTGCGTAACCGACTCCCGAACCCAGACAATGGTTGCGATGACCTTGTCTTATACCTTTTCGTCAGGTTTTTCCGATCGTTTCCTTTCCCGTTCCGAGGGATAAATAACGAAAGGTGGCGACTCTTCTGTTTTGCCGGCACCTTATTTTCGCGGTAGCGACACCTAGCTTAGCAACTTCTCACACTCTTGATTTGATCTTGGAATAACTTCTTAGATACCTCAACACAACATTCCATGATCATATATACTTGGAATTGAGTCCTAATCTCCTTCAATTTCCCAGTTGACTTAGGGTTGACCAGATGAAAACCCTAGCTGCACCACCTTTAACTGGGGCTTCTTGCACTTGATATAATGACTTGAACAAGCTCCTAAATTACCCTCAAGACATTCAACGAGATTATATAATGTTCTCAATCCATAACGATGGATTCAATATCCTCTGATGATCTTCCCATGGTCTCCAAGATAGGAGGTGAACCATATTCATTCATCTGCTCTTTTCAAAGGACTTTGACTTTCTTCTGATGATGATAAGAACTTTATAGCTTGAACAAGACCTCTTGATTAGGTTTAGAGACTCTGGTAATCTCCTTTTGCTATGCACACCTCTCTCAATCCCCTGTATATGGACAATGGTATGCAAAATGCAAATGCCAATGTTATGAAAATGCAATGAAACATAAAACCAGGTAAAGAAAAGGTTGGGAAAATTTTGGGGTACAACACTCAAGAAGATCCAATCATTCCTTACTGATACTCGAGGAAAGTGGACTCCAAACTATGACGATTTGTATGTTGTTAAGAAAGTCTTCTCAAGAGGTGCTCTGATGTTGGCAACTATGGACGGAGAAGAAATCACTCGCCCAGTGAACGTAGACGCAGTCAAGAAGTACTATGCTTGAAAAAGATGGCCCAGAGTGAAGCTATTGAAGACTACTATTAGTTAAGACTCATCAGTCAAAGTTACAGAGCTTAGAACATAGGAAGGTCCAAGTTTGTTTAGGAAGATAATGGTCATTATTCTTTTGATGTAACTATTAATATTATTATTATTATTATCATTTCCCAACATTTTAATAATATATTGGAGGCATGCCCTTTTGTTGACTACCATTTAAATTAAATGAGATTGAGCCTTCGGGAAATCGTTGTTTTTCTTTCTATCTTTGCAAATAAATGTTTTTATTTTTTTATAGCAATTTTGAACAAATTTAAATATTTTCAAAATCTTTTGGTGTGTGTATTACTTGATATATGAATACTAAACGGACATTCACAGATGTTTATTTCATCCTCGAAAATTCTCAGACTCTGATACTCCTACAAGATTCCCTTTGAAGAGGATATTTATTTTATCCCCACCAATAAGGACTTATCCAGTGAAGCGGATATTTATTTTATCCACGAATTCTAATCCCCATGAAGCAACTACATTCATCTTGACAATTCTTCAAGTGAAGTCAAAATGTTATTTCCCCAGAGAAATTCAAAGTTTTAAGGCAGGATTATATTCCCGAGAGTGGTTCTTTATCCATCCCAATGATGTTTCTGTATGTGAAGATTTGGCTGAGTATCCTTGTTTGAGATGTTTATTTCATCTCCGGTTGTCCTTTCTCATCATGTTGTCAGCATAATCATTGCATGTAGATGCATGACATCTATGCATTTTTCATTTTTGTGTTTGTTTTTTTGTTCACTCTGGCTGTGTTTATCCCCAAATGACTGGGTTTGTCTTCTCCTTCCAAGTAGAGTCGCCAGCCCTAGGCAGAAAGAGCACAACATTTCTAAATTCCCCACTGATTTGATCCTCATGGAAGGCAGTTGCTTTAGTTTTCTTTTCCCTTTACGGATAAATATAAACCCCAGTTCAGTTCACTCCTCACTGGATTGGGTCTTGCTTAACCGTTTCTCTTCAGTTACTCCCTGAATTAAACTTTGGGCCCTGACAATCACAATTTTGGATGTTTCTAGGCTTTTGAACCTATATTGAGCGTGCATTTATTTTTCACTTTGACTCCCTAGGAAGAATCTGTTTGAAGATCACCATTGAAGACAAATTATTTCTTTAGCAGTGTTATAACATTTTTTCAGCAATTTATACCCAGACAACAAGTGGCAACTCTTTATTTGAGCAGTTTGTTTCGTTCTCAAGTTTTCTATTCTGGGTGACAAATGGTTATCTTCTCAAGACATTTCGTCTATCCCCAATGAGTTTATCAATATTATCAACTTTTCATCAAAGGGCATATCTCCGGAAATCCATCAGAGAAGTTTGTCGAAGACTCTACAATTGTTTCTTCCTGTTACAGGATTTTGTTTATTCCAAGGTAACTTCAAACTACAACAATACTGCTCCTCGGTGATGTTATCTCTAGTAAGTCCATATTTCAATTTACTACTATCAAATGGCATCTCTCCAAGAAGTTTGGTGAAGATTCGAGTGATCTTTCTCTTTATTTGAGAAGACATATTTACAAATTTATCGGTCTGCATCTAAAGATCCCCGGTGATATTTCCTAATCTCAAGTAAGTTGTGGATTCCCGCCAATGTCATAAACCTCCAGTGGAATTCCAATTCCCTATGAAGATACTCTCCCATAAGTATTCACCTTTCTAGGAAGAAACTGAGACTCGTTCACAGCATACAACCTTGAAGTGCAGGGAGGTTTATTTACCCTTTTCAAGTGAAATACTTGACTAAAGAAGAAACTGAGACCCGTTCACGGCATACAACCTTGAAGTATGGGGAGGTTTACTTACCATTTTCAAGTGAAATACTTGATTAAAGAAGAAGCTGAGATCCGTTCACGGTATACAACCTTGAAGTGTGGGGAGGTTTATTTACCCTTTTCAAGTGAAATACTTGATTAAAGAAGAAACTAAGACCTGTTCACGGCATACATCCTTGAAGCGTGGGGAGGTTTATTTTACTTTTTTCAAGTGGAATACTTGATCAAAGAAGAAAATGAGACCCGTTCATGGCATAGAACCTTGAAGCGTGGGGAGTTTTATTTACCCTTTCTAAATGAATCATTTGGTTAAAGAAGAAGTTGAACCATGCTTTGATCACAGAAGCTTAGTTTGGTTATTGCCTTTTCTTAGGCTATCACATGTAGATAGTAGGAAATATACCGTATTATTTTGGACAGATACCTTTGCTTAGACTACCAGGTTTGATAGTAGGTCATCTTTCCTCCTCATGTTACCTTTGCTTAAGCTATCATATGATTGATAGTAGGTAATATGCGTCTTTGTTTCAATTGGATGCCTTTGCTTAGGCTGTCACATGTTAATAGTAGGATATCCTTTAATTTCAAGTTTCTCACCCGTTGTTTAAGCTATTATATTCTCGGTAATAAATACTATATATCTCTATTTTGCTGGAGACACCATATGTTTAAGCTATACCCAGTGGTGGTCGTTTGTCTCTTCCCTAGTGAAGTTAAATCGTTTCCTGTGGAATCATGCTTTGCTTAGTCGTTCCTCGTCGGGTCTTCCTTATTGTGATGCAGTGTTCTCTGTATGCAGTTATTCCCCGTGGCTTCACAGGACTTTGTCTTATATTTCATATCATATCATTTCATATCAGTTGCATCTGGTGGCACCTTAGGACAAAAATTTGTGCGTGTTTGTATTTAAGTCTCTTCTATCTCGCCGAGACGAAGATTTCGATCTCCATATCTCCGAGTAGAAGAAACTTAAATAGGGGCATCTGTCATACACTAATTTTAGCTCTAAGATTCCACCTTTTTATACTTCCCTTTGCATAATATCCTCAAGATATAAGATTTTGTGCGCATGTTTATTATGACTAACAAGTGTGTGCGAGTACTCTAATTTCAAATATAGACAGCATTAATTCTCACAGTCAAGCATTTCATGAAGTTCCCAAAAGTTTTAGTAGAAATATTTTGGTTTGTTAGATTGCAATCAATATATCTTGAAGGGATCCATGAGTTTTTCATGCAAGAAGCATGATTTGAATTTCACATTGAGAAACCCACCATCCAAGTTACAAGATCTATCTCATCCGAAGGGGATACATGACTGAAAAACTTTTATAGGATACCAAGTTATCGGACCTTTCGAAATTCAAAAGTTTACAGATTGGATTGAAGCTCAAAAATAGTCAATTTGTACAAAAGGGCTTCAGAAGATCAAAGTCAAGCTCGCGGAGTTCGATCATTTTTCCTCACGGATTTTAAAGGAAGAGTTCATATTTTGTCATTAGTAGTGTATGAGCAATATTCTTGAAGCTCAAGGTTACTTCACCATTGATAAAATTCACTAGTTCAAGCTCACAAAGCCAAATTTATGAAATTCAAGTTGTCACATATTTTAGAAATCAAAGGCTCACGTTATACGAAAGTAGGATTTCACAAGATCAAGTTCTTGGTGAACATTTTTGTTAGGTCAATGCTTTTGGTTAGTTCAAAGTTACCTTAAGGCATAACAAAGTGGCTTCAAATTATATAATCATTTTTTTGACATAAGAATGGGATCATTGGGTATAAGCATTCAAGGATGAGCTTTGTTTAGTTTTTCTCATAATCCAACTACACTTGAAACAAGTTGTATTTTCATTCAACATCAAAGACAAATACATAAGGATTATATAAGATTCTAGTGATCTTTAATTAGCAAACACATCAACAACGCATCATTGTGGAAATCAAAGTCTTGTTTGAAAGATTAGAATTACAAGTTTTTTGAAGAAACACAACCAAGGATATGCAGCGACCTCATCATTACTACGTTACTACTAATCTATCCTTCAGGATATGCATAGGCCTAGCAACAGGCTGTCACTCACTCGCTGCCTTCTGAACTACACCAACACTCTCATCAGACCCTACTTTGGAAAATGGATGCAAACACATTGAGGAATGCTTGGAGAGGCGCACCTCTTCAGCTGGCTATTCATTACTAGTAGCAGATATAGCTACCCGAGTTTGTCTTGCAGGGACTAGAAAGAGACAAAGAGGCTTGGGGAAATCAAAGGAATACCAAAATCTTACGCGATGGTACAATTCAATAGTGACAGAACACGGTACTGCCTCAAACGAAGTCACGACGACATATGTTGGCAAAAAGGGGAGGGGGAGAACCATCTGCAACTAAAACAAGAGACAAACGCATGAGCTCAAGCCGAAATTCACAAATGTATTAATATTATTTCAAGATGAGTTACCTTCATCCGCCTGCACCCTAACGTCTTCTTGCATGTGTACTTCTCATTACCCCATTTGCTTCTAAACATCCCTCAACAATTAGGATCAGCATTTTGCTTCAGACTTGTAAACCTGCTAGAATCAAACCAATATAGCAGGGTGTGGTCATGGCTTGTCAGTAAGGATGACGAGTCAGATAGTAAAAAGCAATGCGTGTGCGAAAAATCCACAACTATTCAAGCAACTAACTTTTCCAAACACCACAAAGGGATTATGCGAGACGAAAGAGACAAAGGATTCTATAAATACCTAGAGGGTGTTTCGATTTCACACGGATCCAAGTATCTGTGCCAAGATTAGCATCACCAAAACATAATCAAAATACTCCAATCGAGATGAGGACACGTCTCACATGCATTCTGAAACAAACCACATGTTAGTCGACAACCAAAATTATAAACATCAGAGCATTTCCTAAATCAAGATAACAAGAAACCGAGTCTTTGACGGAGGTATTGATACCTAAGAAAAGACCGCATTTGAAGTTGCTTCATAGAAGGATCAATTTGAGGGAAACACTCATAACTTTGGAGGTGTTAGCCTGTAAACGACAGTAGTGGTGCTGCAGAAAAAGCAGAAGAAGACTACGTGGTGAACAATGTTGTCTTTTCTTTTCAATGCGGTCATAGTGGTGTTTGTCCCTGCAAATTTTTTGAGTTAAGATATAATGCAATTCAAATCACAATATCCTCCACGCCTTTGGCAGGATTGGGAATTTGAACCACATAATCAAACGCAATCAAACAAGCTTTAAGAGATAATCAATACACAATCATAGATTGACACCTAGATAATCAGTCTTTAATGGGTTGCCCCAGACAGATTCACATCCAAAAATAAAGGTTTTGGACCAGAGAAATCAGAACATGATCATACATGTTAGAATTAAAACAGAAATAAGGCATAATCCTGGGAATTATACTTCTTTCCATAATGATTTTGAAACAACATCAATTCATTTCCAAAAACAAACGCAAACACAGCCAATGCAACATCAAATTCAAAATAAGATTTCCTTTCATAAACATGACACAAAGAATACACCCTCACCTATAAAAAGGTAAAACATTACAAGAAGAAGGGGCGACAGAATTATCTAAAGCAGAGACAATACAATACGCAAAGAGTGTGTCACCTACGAATGCAATAGCAAAAGAGAGGGAAAAATACTTATCTTTTCATTGAGGACACAGTTGGAATCACGTCATTAGGTAACGAATCTCCATCCTCCTATTTTTATCTTGTTCCTATTTTAGTCTCTTGCGTTGTTTTGAAACCCCCTATGATTCTTTTACCCAATTTTAATCGCGCCATTAGACTAGGTTTGTCCAAATTCATACCCGATTATTGGTCATCTGTTTGAACCATATTGTGAATTTCTAAGAGGGAATGAAGATTGAACCAAAACCTTGCTCAGAGCCGCCGCGTCCGTTTGCGTGCACTCCGTTTGGTTTGACGCTGCTGGAGATCTAATAAGAGTAAGAGGATACGTAAGCCGTAAGAGAAAATGAGGGCAGGAGAAATGCAAGAGTTGGAGATGAGGAACAATCGGAAAAGACGGTGGCGAGAGAGAGCGAGGGTCGTGGAAGAAGGACGATATTTGGTTTTGTTGGGGCTCACATTGTTGTTGTCGGTCCCCCTTTTTACGTGATGCATGTGTCCCTAGGGTTTGGGTCAGACGGGTTTTTAGGGCACCCGCCAATTCTTTTTTTTATTTGGGTAATATTAATTTGCTCCTTTGGGACACATGTTAAGAAAACCACTTATAATAAATTTGTATTGGAAAAAACAATTTAAAAATTAATTTTATATTTTAATTAAAGTTTATACACAATTTTCAAGACAATGTTTCTTAATTTAATTCTTAACATGTGCCTCAAGGGCACAAGTTAACATTACCCTTTTTATTTTTATCTTGTTTATTTGTGGTCCTCTATTTATAAAAACAAATTAAAATTCCTTTATTAACCTTTTTTTTCTTTTACTAATGTTTTGATCTTAAGCTTAGTTAGAAGGTATTTATAAGGTTTTTAAAAAAACTTGGTTAATAGTTAAGTTTAGATTTATTCTCGATTTTAACTTTAGGATTAATTTTTATTTTACAATCAATTTCTTAGTTTAGACTTAAGTGCCTGAGAATACAGCTTGATGCATCTTGGGTAACTACCTTTATAATATTGATGTTTGTTGACTTATGTCATTCAGCTTTGGGGCTAGACTGCTTGACTGCAGGGTTTTTCGTGTTCCTTTAGGTCCCTAACTCATTGGTATCTTCGATAAATTAGATCTGGATAGGCGCGTAGACATTAGTTTAACTATTGAATGATAACATTAGGAATAGAAGTTCCCCTTCCTTCCCGACTCCAGGGTCCATCCTAGCTTGATCACACATCTAATGTATATCTTGTCCAATGCTTATTGATGGACTTTTTTATTATTGCTTACATTATATGTCCAAGAGAAGAACTTGTATGTGACTTTATAAGTCATATGCACTACATTATTCATTTACATTATTTCCCCTGCTCGATCCCTGATTTCCTTTCAGGTCGATCAGCTTAAGTTATCCTCCTCGTATCTTAAGATAGACTCCCGTAGGATTCTCCAACTTAGACAACTTACAATTAAATTCCCTATACTCCCACAAGAGAATTAGACATGATTCATCCATACTGTCTAGATAATTCTCCTACCCCATAAAATAATTAAGAAAGATGTACAATCTTTTCCGCTTGAGAGAGGTATGTGGCATACTCGTCGATTAAATCCGAGTTGGTGCCCTTCTCTTAATGCGATGCAAAGATTGTCTTCCATACATTTGTGGTAGTTTAAGTCGAGTATTCTCCCTAAGATGACGACTTGTCTCTTCTCCTAGAATCAATCAATAAATCCCCCCCTGGGAACCTTGGCCACAGTCAAGAGTTCCTCACCCTTTTAGTGGAACTACGAATGCTCTGATCTCATTCCTGTCAAGATACATAGGCACAAGATGCGAATTCTTGGCGAGCATACTTAGAAATAAACCCCTAGGTATTTCACCCTTAGCAAGCAACAATAACATAATAAAACAAGAGGTTCCTGTAGAGTACTACAGATGCTTATGATGCTAACACCTTCCCTAGGTATAACCAACCCCCGAACTTTAGATTCTCTAGCTTTGCATTGCATTACATACTTTTGGGTAATTCGATATTTCCCCTTCCCTTGTACAAATTAAAGACCGATGGGGAATAATGATTTGCGATTCAAGTTAATCAATAGCTTGATATCCAATTCTCACCGTGACATAGTGCAAGTAAAGATATGAATTGATAGTCATGCAATTCAGGGGGAGTTAAGTTATTTGGCATTTTGGTGCATAGGTTTCCTGCTATTGATGTGATGTCAAACAAGATGTCTTGACATGGTGCTTCAGTTGTTTTGGAAGCTTTTGGTTCTTGTTGTGTGAGAGTTTATTTCTCTCTGTGAGTTTCCTTTTATTTCTTTTATGGGTGCCTCTAAATTGTTCTAGTGTGGTTTTGGTTATCTTGTGTATGTTTTTTTTGTGTGGTTCTTTTGGGTTGTTGCGGTTATGGTGTGTTTCTGTGTCTTAAGTAATTTATGCAAAGGTTTTTTTAGCCAAAATTTGCCAAAGGGGGGAGATTGCAAATTCTGTGATTTTGGGATTGGCAATAATTTTGTTAAAACAAGTTTCACAGAAAGATGTTAAGCCAAATGTCTTGACATGTTGGTCAGACTTCACAGATGGTCAGCACGATGTCGTGACCTGATGTCATGACATGTTATACCAGAAGCTTAGGGTTTTCTATTTTGGAAGATTTGTTATTTAAATTGTGAGATTTTATATGATTTTAGTTCACACTTTGTTGCAATCTAAGGAGGGATATTTTAAGAACATTTGTCTATGCCAGAAGTACATATGTTTCATAAAAAGAATCTAGGAGACCTTTTAGGAAACTTCTTTTTAATTCCTATTTTGTACAGAAGATCTTGGAGAAGATATGAAGCTATTGTTTTGGGATTTACGAATTTTTTAGCTGAAGAGTCCAAGCCCGTGCTGATCAATAGCTATAAAAGGAGCAAAAACCTAATGCATTGGAGAAGCCGCATATTAAAAGAGAGTATTAGGATTTAGTGTGTCTTTGTTATTTGTGCTCCACTCATATATCTCTTTAATATCTGAGTTGGATTGTGTTGTTTTTTTGTGCATTTATGAGTCATTCATGTACCTCTTAGGTGCTTGAATTGGACTAAGTTTTGTGTTATAATCACTCCTAAGCTTTTAAGAAAAGAGTGGATTTTGTGTCATTAGAAGTGTGACTTCTCTTGTTCATTGTTGTTGAGTTTGTCATTATTGTGTGACTCGTGAGAAGTGAGAGGGGTCTCATATCTAGGAGTTCCTAGGTAGAAATAGCACGGTTAGTGATTAGGTGAGAGGCTTGTAAACCCAAGGTTGTCTGTTGTGGCATCAAACTAATACAATTATAGTGGGCTTCCTTCCTGCCTTGGACGCCCTCAGATGTAGGTGAGGTTGCACCGAACTGGGTTAACAATTGATTGTGTTATTTACTTTTAAGCATTTACATTAATTGCAAAATTGTTTGTATTGTCCATTATGCTGATCTCAGTGTCGTGGCATCGTACTCGACATCTGGTGTCTATGTGCCAGAATTTCAATGAGGAATTTGTTTAAGGTGTATGGGTTATGGTTTGTGAATCTAATGTATTTTACTAATAAATGTGAGGTCTATAAGTAGTCGTCTGTGGGTGTAAAATTCCTTCAAATTCAATTTTTGATTAATAAAATAGGAATCCTCTAAATTGTAAATTCCAAATAATTTCCATGAAACCTGCTTACAAATTTCAAACACTAATCCTATGATAAATTGAATATGTGATTGTGTGATGAAAAGGGTGAGTGAATATAGTGTTTGAGGGAGAATGGTTTTGATAACAAATTTTCACTTTTTTTTAATCTTATTTGTTGATTTTTTTTGTCCTTTTGATTTAATTTTTTTGTTTTAATAAT